GTCGTCTCATCTGTGGACCAGCATCTCGTGTCCAGGTGAATGCATGTGGTTCACTTCCCAGGGGAAGCTGTTTGCCGGTTAAGGAAAAGAGGAGATGGAAGAAAACATGAAGTGCTCCGGGAACTGGGCTCCACAACAGTGCAGGAAAACAATTTTAAGATATGTAATAATCAAGTAACTAGGTTTTCTGATATAAAAAATGTAATGTCCTAAACACAGGCTAGAGTGCAGAGAATATGGGCTTGCCAATCCGTCCGCATCTCTACGGAATATTTACAATCTAAAACCAGCTTTCCAGAAAGCTGGGTAAGCTTTCAGCTTAGTTTATTTTCTATATATAATACAGAAAGAGAAAATAAATAGTAACCTCACAGTAAAGGACTCGTCTCTGAGAACACATATTCTGCTGCTTCTTTAGCTAATAAATGGAGACTATAATACAGAAAGGAATGCAGCTCAATTGTGCTTGCACATAGTTTCGGAAGCTTTGCCTTCAGCGTTAGCAGGCCAGCCTTGCCCACCCGATCCGCATCCACTCGTCTCTCCCGCCCTGCAGGCCCCCAGGCGCTGGAGTTGGATTCTCCAACGTGTGCGTCACTCCTGGACTTTAGGTATGAGCCCTTCTGAGTCATGGTAACTTGCTCGAGGCTGCAACACGTTGTTAATACACCAGACGATCATCTACCAACCCGTCAGGCCGAATCACATGGCGTGTCTGCGCCCTCCTTGACCTACCACTTTCATCTATAAATTTCATTACTTCATGAGACTTGCTTTGCTGCCTCCTGGAAACTGGAACCAAAAGAGAGTCGTCTGGGCCCTGGGAGAACTCGAGTCCGAACACAGTCAGGATTTCTGCAGCTTTCACCGTTGCCCAGAAGGTATAGCGCGACAGGCAGACGGGCGTGTAGTGATGGATGCAAGTGGGCCTTCTGCCTCTTCGTTTCCAAACTACCTCTGTCATCTGTGAAAGTGCTGTAAACATTCCTCTTAATGGGTCAGCCTCCACGCAACAAGCAGAGTTCTTACTTTCGAAAGAAACTGTACAAGTTAGGAGTCTGAATGTGGCACACTGTGGACACTAACATTGTGGCAACCATGACCTCCTGGTAAGTGGGTGCCCTGCCCTACGTCTTCTCTGCTCCCCCAAACGTCCTGAGAATTGATCTAGGACACAGATTATTCTTGAGCTGTGGCTTGTCAGGGCTGGAGAACTAAGGTGAATGTGAAATTCCATCTCAGATTTTGGAATAAAACATCTGCTGCTGCTTTGAAACTTCTTCAGTCATGCAACTTGCCAGGAACGTAAGATTAACTGACTGGGTTAACCTTTATGTGAAACTCTTTGATGGCATAAAGCTTTCCTTTTATGAGTATTTAGACAATTTGACTTCAAAAATAGAAGAAAATAGAATGCGCCAGCTTAGCACGATTAACGTTGGGTTCATTTAGGTCTTGGGTGCTGTAAAAATTGTAAAACATATTCATAGTGCTGTTTGTTCCAGGAAACAGAGGTAAAGTGAAGTGGATGACACGACAGTGCCTTTAGGGTAGCACAGCGGTCTCAAAAAAGTGACACGGTACTAGGATAAACCAAGGATTCCTGCCTTAAAGTCAGTCCAAGAAAGCCACTACGAATGTAACCCCAAGCTGGTATCTGCATGAACCGAGTAAATGACCCTTTGTCTCATGGCCTAAGTGTCACCTTGTTGCAATACTGCATCAATATTATTACATTTTTCAAAATCCGTATAAAATATTATCTGGAACTCCAAAGGAAAAATCACTTAATCTTTAAAAAGTTCATTATAAAGTTGACGGTACAAAATGCTAAAACATAATCCATATATACAAAATGTTATTTAAGAAAATAATGAGACCTAGTTTTAGAATAAAATAATTTTATACCAAAAGAGGGTATTGCATTCAAATCAATATGTAAAAAAACTTTTAAAAAGAATATCGAAGCTCTGAAGAACGACCCCAGAGCGCTGGCTTGCCCTTACACCACCCACACCCTGCCTACAGGCCAGCGCCAGGTGGCGAGGGACAGAGCGGGCCCTGCCAAAGGCCCTTTTGCCAAGATGGTCATCGCCGAGATGGGTACTTGGAAGCCCAGTCTGTCCGGCCGTGCACTGGCTGGGCGGCTGGAGGCCGGGGCTTCAGGCCAGGGGTGCTTCTTGGCTGCGTGTGGAAGAAAGGTCGCCCAGGATGAGGTCTGATGGCCTTCAGAGAAGAATAGCCTGCAAGGGAAGAGACAGAATGGCCGATGACAGGGGCCTCGAGCAGCCAGGAGGCACACGTGATCACGGTGACAGAAACGTCAGCGCGTGAGAAGCTCAAGCTTGGGGCGCACTTGGATTCCTCCTCCCAGTGAAGACAGCTCCAGTTCTCCAACTAGTACGAGCCGTCCAGTCCGCAGTAAGGGTGTCACTCTTACCTCCCACGAGGTCTACTGACAGCTCGCGGGCTGGACGAGCCCGTGAGCACGGCTAATGGGTCGCTTGCTTCTCCTCTGCTTGAACGCTTCAGCAGCTCCGGAGCGCACCTGGGGCCCGCTGGGGGCCTCAGACACAGCCCGAGACCTCTCCTCACCCCGCCTCCTCTTGCAACTCTGACCTCGCTCCCCCCACGGCACTCTGACCCCCTTGCTGGGCCTGCCAGGCCCCATGTGTGGGAGAACTGCCATCTGGGACAGTCTTCCCGACACCGATCCCACGGTCACTCGCTTCCTCCGAGCCTTGCTCAGTGACTCCTTTGCAGTGAGCTATTCTTTGGCTTCTCTGGCTAAAATCGTACTCTGTACCTCACACTCCAACCCCCACAAGCTCTACCTCCCTCCTGTTTTATTTTTTCCTTAGCACAATGAGCATCTGACACTGGGGTGGCTCCAGCATCGTCTGCACGGTGCAAGCTCTCTGAGAGCAGAGTTCTGTCTGTCTCAGGCACTGGTGCGTTCCCGGCAGATGCCTGGCACAGAGCAATCATTCAGTCGATGTAATCGAGCAATCGATGTATCTAGACGCCCCCCATGGCCTCACGTGGTCACAGGTGGGGCTCTGCAGAGGTGGCTGGATCTGGGTGTGTGATGCTGGGATTGATTGATGGTGTGACGCTAGGCTCAAGGGCACTGGACAGAGGGCGGGGGTGCTGCCCGCCATAAGTAGCCTGGATAAGATATAAGGCACAGAAAGGGCTGTGGTTGCCCCTCAGAGGTTTTGCTGTCTCTGCTTGCCAGGCACTGTTTTCCTCTGCAGTGCCCTCTGCCCTGTGCCACCTGCCTTGGAGTCAGCAGATTGTGGACCGAACCTCTACGGACGGTGAGCCCAATCAATCTTTCCTCCCTTGACTCCAGGCATCTCAGCAATGAGAAAAGTAACCAAGACACTCAGTAAATGTTGAGTCAAATTTATGAATAGTTAGAAACACAGCTTACCAGGGGAAGGGTCTGGAATAGGCGCCAGGTGTATTCTCGGCAGAGCGGAACCAAGTTCTTTTTTCAGAAAGGAAGGGATATAATTTCCAGTCAGTCCACTAGAACTTGTAGAGCCGGAACCAACTGATGTGCAAAAGCAAAAGCTCGTGTTACACAGCGACACAGATGTGACACCAACGGCTATACAGAGTAGTGCAGACCAGTGAAGAAAGAAGGTTTTGCTTTCAGGGAAAAGAAAAGAACTGTGATGAGAGCAGCGTGTTCTCAGTAACGCGCCCTGAGCCCTACTACCAGGAGGCAGGTGGCGAGAGGAGCCAATCAGAGAGCTGTTTGTTAAAATCACAGAAAGGATACTGGGCATTTCAATTTTTGTAACAATAAGTTTAGCCTGTTCTGCAGCTTGCTTTTTCTGCTCCATAATATAGACTATACTCCATGTCAGTATATACAGACTTTGAAGTATGACTAAATGTGGTTCCTATAAGCATTCCCTTATTGACCAACACAGATCACCTTAATTATTTAGGCATTATGATACATGGAATGTTCCTGCTGCTAATCAGAAAAATGAATAGCTAGCAAAGACACTACGCCCCATCTGCACCCCTCACAGCTGCAAGTGTACGCTGCTCATTTGGGGTCCTGGGAGCCCAATGGCACTGCAGGGGGCAGCACCAGGCCATCAGGGCCGGGCAGGCGTAACTGCCTACGTTGCTTCTCTGTTGTTGTTGTTGTTGGTACGTTTATTTATTTATTTTTTTCTCACAGTCTCCCGCACAGTTCAGGCTGGCCCTGAGCTGCAGCAAACCTCCCGCCTTGGCCTCCTGAGTGCGGGCATCACAGGTGTGTGCCGGCACGCCTGGTAATTCTCTTACAAGGCTGGCCCTACAAGGAATGATGGAGAATGGCTACGACTGGCCGCGTACAAGAGCAGCTCCACCCGGAAGAACGGTGGGCACTGCCCTGTCCCACAGCACGGAAGGACCTCGGCGGGGCCACCCATGCTGGGAGGAGGCGGCTAGCGTGCCTGCACAGGGAGCTGTGGTGAGGGAACGCTCTGTGTTTTCGGTGTAGAAAGAATTAGGAAGAAGAAAGGGAAGCGTAAGTGACAGAAGGAAAGAAAGGCAGAATCCACAAATACAAGGAAAGATAACGAATGCCATTAGTAACAGCACATGCAGGATTAAGCCCCATCAGGTGCCACTTCGCAGCCACCAGGTCAGCACAGAACCAGGTGGCACTGAGCAAGGCGTGCAGCCCCCACACCCTGCTGGGCCGCACTGCGCCCACATCTGCACCGCTGAATGCATGCGTGCCCTCAACTGGGCACGCTCATTCCACCACAGAAACTTTGGCACGACAATGGGGACACAAGAATGTGCACCTCAGTACCCTGTCTAGAAGCCACAGCCTTGAACAGCTGATGTGACTGTCAAGAAGAGGAGGAATTAAATAATGATCAAGTATAAGTAATAAATTACGACACCATATTTGATACTATTAGATATAGGTCCAGGCTTGTGCCTTTTCAGGGTTGGCCTTCCCACATTAGGTGGCAGGGACACAGGTGTCACACACCATTTCTTGTTTTGTGTTCCTTAAAGTAAATGAGGTCAAAAGGGCAGAGGTGGGAAAGCGAAGGTGCAGCCTTCACCGCCACATGGAAGGCGAGGCAGCAGCGGCAGGTGGCTCTCTCCATGGCACGGAGGGCCTGCTACGGTGGGCAGGGACCCCAAACTGCCCACCTGCCAACCGAAGGGACAAGATGCCCTGGGCTGAAGACTGGGTCATCACACAGAGCCGAGCTGGCCAAAGGAGGCAGGGCCAAGTCCATCTCCACCTCGAAAGGCAACGCCTGCTGCATGGAGGCTGGGGTGGTAGGACCCAGATCCTGGACCCGGAAGGAGCCTGCTACACTCTGCAGAGATTCTGGCGGGCACAGCTTTGGGACCTGCCCAAGGCCTGCTGCCAAGGGAGGGAGAGGAGGACAGGCCTGTCTTCACACCAGAGCGGCCTCGTCCCACAGCACTGCGTCCACCTTGAGGCAGCCACAGAGTTTGATTTTTGCCGTCCAGGAGCTGACAATCATTACTCACCTGAATTCATCTTGCTGACTACCGACACTGTCCCAGAAGACTTTCCAGACAAGGCAGAGCTGGACCACGGACTCGAGGAAGGGAAGTCCTTCCCTGTGTTTAGGAGCACGCCGTTCCTGATGTTTATCCCTAACAGGGAAAAGAATGATTTGAAAATTCAAACTAGAACAGGAAGATGATAGAAAAAAAACCCCATGGTACATATATACAACGGAATATGATTTAGCCTTAAAATGAAGCCCTTGCAACTTGCCACATCCGAGACTGGAGGGTATTATGCTAGATGAAATCTTCTAGACAGAGAAACTATTGTGCGACCTCACTTATATGTGGAATCTAAAAGGAAAAAAACCCAAATACACAGAGGCAGACAACAGGGACAGACAGAAGTTGTCAAAGGCAGGGGTGGGACAGGTGAGGGGGTGGGGGATGACACAGGTAAGGGGACACAGAGCAGCGAAAGTGCAGAGGAGGAGTCCCCAGATCTAGGGTGCAGCATGGGCCACAGTACAAAACTGCACCTTCCCTGGAATCTGTGCCTACCAAGTAGATTTGGGCTGCTCTTGTCATGAAACCGAAAAAGGGCAACTATCTGAGCCCCTGGGTGTTAATTTGCCACTAGAGTAAGCTTTTTACTGTGTACATAAAACCCATAAACCACACACTAATTATACGCAATAAACTTTGCTTGAAACGCTACCACTCCCCAGAGCCGGAAGCCGAGCAAGCGTTCCAGAGCACCGGGTCACCTGCTCCTTAAGTCCAAGTGAGGGTGATCAGTTTTCATAGTAGCTTTTGAAATTATATCTCTCCATTTTTAGGTAAAAGGCTCTGACATTTTTAATATGTCAGAATCCTATTAAAAGGGCCGGCCTGATAGCTCAGCGGACCAAAGTGCCTGCTTTGGCAGAGCCAGCAGCTGGGGTTCGATCCTGGAGGTTCTGCTTAGAAACACCACAGTGGGAACCGTCTCGGTGGCGCCCAGACCGGACACTAACAGTGGACATTCAGTAGGACGTTCAGCCCCAAAGCAGCAGCCAGTGAAATCGATCTGCAGACAATGTCACACAGAAAACGAAATTAAATCCAGGGATCCAATCAGATGGAGAGAATGTGGATACAGAATAACGCACAAGAAGAGAACTAAAAGACTGGTGGCTTTGATGCTCAGTGAAACATGGGGGGAAAAAAAGAATCCGAAAAAGGGGCCGGGGAGATGGCTCAGTAGAATAAGCGCTTGCCTGGCAAGCTCAAGGGCCTGAGTTCAATCCTCGGTTCTGAAGAAAAAAAAAAGAAAAAAGAAACATGGGAATTCGGAAACGTGTCTCTGTCGGTACCTAGATTTGTCCCTTCAGGAGTCTCGTTGTATAGCTTTGGATTTGACACATGGAGGAATACAACTACATACATGATTTCATTTTCAAAACCAGACTCTATTTAGGTGTCTAAATATACTGCTATATGACTTGTAATTTAAATTTTTTTTTTTTTTTTTTTTTGGGGAAGGGA